AACATAATATTTTGAGAATATTTTTTTTAAGTTGACAAAATGTATTATTAAAGAATTTATTTAAATTACAATGTTGTTTTTATTTATATTAAGAAGTTTACAAACAATAAAGGTATAACATGTTATTAAAAACATTTGTAACAATTAACTATTTAAGAATAATAATTTCATAAAAAAAACATTTGAAAAAAATCAAACAATAAAGTATGACAAGTTTTACCTAAACGACTAGTTTGGGTTAAATGGTAAAAATTATTGTCCAATTGTAATAAAAATAGGGGTGGTAGTGTTGAGCAGCAGCAATTTAAAATAGTCAATACTTGCTGTAACGAGACATACACATAAATTTTCATGAGAGCGCTTCGATTTGTATCATTTTTTTATTATATAAATTGGTTTGTGACACACAGTTCTTAATTAAAGATCTTTTTGGTTCAAATACAAAAAAGTGACATATTTTTAGTAAAAAAACAAAGATATACAGGAGGCAGAATAATTACTTGACAAAGAATAAATTGATTGACAGAAAGATAATTGGCCAAAACGCCTTAATAATGATTTTAGGTTAGCTGTTTTAGTTTTTTTTCGGGAATTACCACTCATTCTATTTTTATAATTAGAAATTACTTGACAAAGACTAAAAACAGCGTTTTATTTTTCCAAAAACAAAAAAATGGAACTGAACTCGATTAAGAAACATCTTTTCGAACAATTCACTTCTGGATCTCCTCCAATTCGCCAATTATGAGTTTGAAAGGCTCTAGACTCTATTGAAACGTGTCAACAGGACTCCCGTAGACTTGGTGATCTATGTGGTATAATACATGGAAGTTGTCACAAATACTGGAAATTTGAATTTTTAGAATGGAATGTGTTACCCCAAGTTTCCCGAAAACTCGATTTGTTATACCAATTCATTAATATGACTAACCAACACCAAAATTTCATTTGAAGAAAAAAGCTTTCTTACTTTTCTTTTTCAAATCAGATACAGAAACTGTCGCTATTTCATTGGGCGGAGCAAAGAGTCGTTTGATGATTGCTGCATTTGAAAACATGTTTGAAAATGCACAAAACTCTTCAATTAGACAACTTCATGAGTGTTTCTAAAAGCACGGCAAGTGCTCTTAATGTCACAAAGCTTTCACTTTATAAAGTGGAAACAATCATGCCAAGATGCTCTCTTCCCGAAGATAATTTAAAGTATAATGAATCTTCATATAACACAAAAGGACAGTTTATGCATTCTAAACAGCCTTTTCGGTAATTATGACTTCTTTGTTGTTTGGGGTTTTAATTATTTTGTGACTTTCCTCTCCGTCTTGGCGGGTTTTTCACTCCAATTTTTTGGGAGTTTTAAACATTTTAAATTCCAATTATTCAGTTGTGAACTGAAGAGACGTGATATCTTTAAGCTCCGTCGATATCATGTCTGAAAAGAGAGTATAAAACAACAGTTTTTATCGGATAATAATTCTTTTTATGCTTTTTTTTCAAATAATTTTCATGTTTTTAAGGTCAAGCATTACCGTTATAATTATTACCCACATTCTTACTTATAGCAAAACCAAGTTTATGGTAAAACAAATGAATTAATTTATTCAAGAAATGTAAACAAAATAACCTAATGATGGTTCTCAAACCTTAATAAAAATTACTCTCAAAATTAAAAATAGAATTTTGTCATTACTTTTTTCTTTTTCAAGTGATTTTTCAGCCTTATGTAACATATGTTTTAGTTTTATATATCAAAATTTGATTATTACATACAACGATAAAATTAATTATAATTTAATTATCATTCTATTTAACCATTATTTTTTTTATAGTTTAATTTACTGTTTACTTTTATAATTAGTTTTAAAACTATTAAAGTAAACCATTTAAGTCAAACTATTTCATTTAATAACATTAGAGTAAAGTAAAATAATAAATCATTTTATAGAGTACCGTGAAAAATCACTGCTGCGTGAAATATTACTGCGAATTGTTATTGGGCAAAAAATAATGTTATTAAGGGTTTTAAAACATTTTGGGTAAATTTTTTTGTTATTTAAGGCTGTTAAAACGAAAAACGATAATTTTGTTCAACAAAATCTTTTGAGTTAAAATCAACAAATTGTGCTAAGAGGAATAAATGGTGTTTTTATATACTTTTTATGAGGGTTTTTTTCCTTTTCCAATTGAAAAACAAAACATATTTATTTTTTGTTATTACAAAAAGACAAATTCTAAATTATAGTTTCGAATATTTATAAATTATTTTATCAAGTAAAAATGTGTTTTGATATTTTTAAAATGTAAATAAATGTACCAATAATTGATATTGATATACCCGTTACATCAATTTATGAAATACAATTTTATTGAACAGTCGATATCTCTGACAAAATATGAACACATTTTAACAATAAAGTTTTGCTTAATATCGTATTGTTGATGAAGATTAAAAATTATAAATAAAAAATCGTCTTCATAATTGTAATTACCAAATAATCACTTAACAATATAATTACATTCTGATGTATAAAGTGTATTCATTAGTTGCTTTCACAATGATTTGTTATTTGAAAAATTATTACTTAATGTCTTGTTTATGGTTTATGAAAGTCTTTGATTTTTTAAGTAAAAAATTTAGAGAAAGAATCTAACCCGTCACACCGTGACACAAAAAATGGTTTAAAAACAAAATTAATAAACAATATAATTATGTATTTCATACCAACATTTGTAATATCGAAATCGTTTAGTAAATACTTGACATGTTGGTTGTATGACCACCGTCTATTTTGATTGTGGAATGTTGTAATAATACATTCACGATTTACATAAAATAAATCAAACAATGAACTATTATTATAGTATAAATGTAATTAAAATATTATAAACAACAAACAAGTGAAATAATTAATTAACATGTATTTTTAATTAACATCAACATAACAATTACAAAAAAAATATAATAAAACAAAAAAAATATTATTCATTTAAAAATGTGAAACTATTTTTTAATAATTATTATATAATTAAACTAGTCGATTAATTATGGATAATTTTATTATAAATTATCATTATTTTAAAAGGGTTAATATACCAGAACCCATAACAATTCAATTCTTTCATTTCAACAAATTATTTAAATTTTAAAATAGTGTGATTAAATTATCGACCATTTGAAAACCCCACGCTCGTTAACCGTTTGTTATCGTCGAATTAATTTATATTTTATTAATTCATAAATATGATATGTTTATAACGTGTTTTTGTATTTTGATTATGTTTATTGTATTGCAGTTTGTGTTGTTGTAATAATTTCGAAGTTGAAACGTTTATTCGATTATAATAATTCGAGTTGATATTTTTGTATGTTTTTATATTATTATTATGTTAAAACATATTGATTATAATGGTAATCTAAGTTTATTTAATTGGAGTTAATAATTTCAATATTCACAACAAAAATTAACGACTAGATGAGCAGAAATCAAATTTCATATTATGGTGTCCAAAAGGTGGACTATTTATTCATATTTTCGATGTTTTAATTTATTTGTTTTTGTTATTATGTTTTGATGTATTGTTTCGTATTATAAGTTATAAATTGTTAAAAACTATAAAATAAAAACCAATATCTAGTTTGAGTTGTTTGGAATGTTCTGTTTTACAAATTACCTTTGTTTTATTTGATAGCCATGTTATATAACATTTTTACAAAGTTAATATTTTTTATGTTTTACAAGCCACAATAACATTATTTTTTGTCCAATGACAATTCGCAGTAATATTTCACGGTACTCTACAAATTTTTTGTGTATTTTTTTCGGTGAATTGGTTCAGCATATTATCATTTTGCCTCAATATATTTATTTGAATAATGGAAATATATAAATAAACATTGTTGGGTTAAATAATAAAAAACTTTTTTCAAAAAACAAACAAATATTAACTTTACTTTAAATAATTATAAGTTTATAATTATTATTTGTTATTTAATTATAAAATATTGATCTTTTTTCCAAACTTGTTTAATTTCAACACAACCATTCGATTAAATCGTTTATTCATTTTTTCAAAGAAGCCAATGTAGTTTTTTATTCATTCTGTTGATTCAATAAACCAATTTTCGTTTTGCATTAAAAGTGGCTCACACGAAAAATAAAAGTAAAGTAAAGAATAAATTATTAGAATATAAGACATTCAGCAAATTATTGATAATTATTAAACGTGTTCAACAATAAGAAATAAATCAATATAAAAAACAAACTTTACCTTGGCTAGGCTGGGTATTAACAAATGAGACAGCTCGAATGATTAATTAAGAGTTTTATATTTTATAGTTTTTTCTATTTTATTTAAAAAACAGTGTATCTATTAATAGTTGGTCCCTGCTTTTTAAAAATAAACAAACATATCTTCCGAAACCCCCCGAATATTTGTTTGTTTTTTTAACAAGAAAACTTTATACCAAATATTAAACAGCTTAATTTAGTCAGGTGCCTAGTTTATGATTTTATCCCTGGTTTTTGCTCTATTTGTAATTGATTATTAAAAACATATAAT